AAAACAATATCGTAACAAAGGAATGATAATAATGACAGGTAGTTTTCAAAGTAATAAATAAGTAAAGAAAAGATTTACAAGAAAAAATAATGAAAAGTGTATTTGGGAAGTGTAAGTTATGTTAGCTGTATTAAAAATCTTTTTGTGACTACTCTTATAGTATTATTAGATTGCAATTAGGTACAGCACGGATGATGATGAAAGAATTTTATGGAAAGCATAAGTTATGTAAACTGTATGAAAAATCTTTTTGTTACTTTTGTTGGCAACTAGGTACAGTATGGATAAGGAATGAAAATGATGAAGTGATTTTATTATGAAGGTATTGGAATGAATGTACAAGTTTATTTAAGGATGTTTGGGAATAATTTGGTTTATAAAATTTTCTATGAAATTCTTATTAATCAAAATATTCATTATTATGGATTGTGAATTAAAATGAATTAGGAATGAAAGTTAATGAATTAAAATGCTCGATTATACGGTACACAATAAGAAATGGGTACTATAGGGATCGGGTCCTTCAGTCTTATCAATTGACGAACGAGATTCTCATTTGAATACTGTTGGAGACCAAAGAATGTCTTAATTCATGACCCTATGAAAAGAAATGTGTATGAAAATGGTACATGGAGGGTCGGATCCTTCCATTCGATCATGGTGCAAACGAGATTTCTCCGTGAGATAAGTTGGAGTCCAAAAGAGGCTTAAACCAGGACCCCCAAAATAATTAGGTTGTGGCCACAACCCAAATGGCATGATATTGTCCATTTAATATTATAGAATATGTAAAGTCGACTATAAATAATATATGTACCAATATGAATAAATAAAATGAAAATGAAAGAACGCCGGCGCCGAGCGAAACAGGTGAGTGAAATAATGCGTATAGGCAAAGTACCTACGTGTGTAATGTGTTATGAAATAAGTGTACCCAAATTATATGAAATTAAGAATATGAGCAAGAGTATGGAATAAAGTATGATTTAATAAATGTGAAATAAAGATGATAGATGATGAAATAAGTATATAGGTATTGTTGGTATTGTGTGGTATTAAAGAATTAGAATCATAAAAAAAAAATGGTGAAATAATGACGATGAAAGCTTAGTTAAACGGATGAAAATATATAATATACAAAGTGCTAGAAAATGATAGGAAGAAATAGGTAGAATATTGATATGTATTTGTAAGAAAAAGGATAGATATGAAATGATTAACGAATACTCAAGTAATTTGAAAGAAAGTTTCTTAGAAAAGGTAGTTTTTTTTTAAGAAAAAAAAGAACTGTACTGAAGTATGTGCTATTTTACATTAAAAATAATAATTTCAAGATAGATTTATATTATATGGACATGGACACAAAAAAAATTCTAAACTAGCACATAAATATGAAAACAAAGTGAACAGTATTTTTTTTCTTTACATATTAGTAGTGTTGATTTATTGAGTCACTATATATGATATTTTTTTTATGAACGAGAAATAAGATAATTTTTTTTGGCAATCTTAATTTTAAAATATAAGCAGTGCACACTTTCATGAAAATCCATATAAAGAATTCATGTATTGTATTATCGATAACTCTCTAATATCGAAAATCTTCATATGCAATTTGTATATCTAATTGTAAGAGTTTATTTTTTCCTTGTGAAGTTATTGACGTTTGAAAACTTACAGGGTTGTCACTAATAGAGGTTGTATAACAAAAAACTATATTTTATTAAATAACTTTTAATAACGGTTTTTTTTTTCAATAAATTAATGATAACGATTTTTTTTAATTAAAGGGTATAATTTCAATTGTGTCGTATGATATATTATTATATGTTGTGTTTTATTATTTGTATCTTATTATAACAATGAATGTAAAAGTAAAGTTTAATAATTTCCAAACAAATTAATAATGTTATATACAATATAAATTCATTTTACGTAATTGCATAAGCTGTATTTCTGTAACAAAATGTTAGTTTTAGCATTGCATGCAAGTTATATACTTACTTTTCATATATAACTTTATAAATTTAAAATAATAAAAATTGTTTGTGCAACTTACTATTATTTATCGTTTTCTTTTAAAGGAAATTAAGCTTTTATACTTGTAGCTGTCTACCTTGAAATATTATAAAGATAACACCGATATAGAAATGAAAATTGTATTCTGTAAACTTCAAGTCCAAATAACTCGTTTAATGTATAAAACAAGTTTTAATTTCATTATTCATAATAAAAAAAAAAAAAGAATAATGTATGAATGAATAAATTCATTACGAAATCAAACTAATCTTGTGAATGTGTCAAGCTAGCCTTTGTTAATTTTATACCAACTTATTTGTATGTAAAACAAAAATCAGATTTTGTATCTATTTCAATAAATTCAACAACATAAAAACGGTTTTATTAACAATATTTAGCTAATATCGTCAATATGTATGTATAATTATAAAAAAAAATGTAATCTTGGTTTTTTTTATTTTTTTTAGGGGGGAGGTGTAGTGTGTGTACACACACACTCATCACTCCTCATTATATATAAGCCAATGTAAACGTAATTAAAGATATTATTATTATAATCGCAGTCAGACTATCATTTATACACCCGAACCACCAACACTGCAATCTGTTGGGGTGGCTCGCACCTAGCTCCGTACATTATCAGTTGGTTAGCCTATTACACATCTAACCCCTACTTGGCGAAGCCACCCCCCACTCTTAACATCTATGTATCATTACTACGTTTATTGTTAATTACTACGTTTTACTGTTTCTCTATTTACATCATAAATCACGTTAAAACATCATTGTGTCGGGCAAGACCGCGCCGTCGAAGCTTATAATCGTTCTAAGGCGCGCCGCGCTCTTGCCCGACGTATTTATGTGGTCAGAGCGAGACGGAAGATCCCGCGTAAACCAGCGCCGTCTCGCTCCGATACATTTTTATCGTTAACATGAAGGTAGTCGAACATTTTACATTTTAACACCCCTGTATCGAGGCAATACCGTATAGAAACCCACATAAGCTCCCTTGACTCGGGCAATACCATATAGAAAACCCACATAAGCCTCCTTGAGTGAAGCAATACCATACAGAGAGCTACCTAAGCCTCCTTAGCGAGGCAATACCTTATAGAAAACCATAGCAAATAAAATCCAACCCTTCATAATCATTTAATTTGCTATAACTTAAATTATCTTAATACTAGGGGAATAAATAAACCCAGAGGTTGTATCGTTTAATTTTAAGCTTTAACCACGTTCATTTAACTAAACTTACTTATTATATATAATTTACTTAAGATCATCTACTATACAACTCGACGAGACGTGCGTCCGTAACAAGTACTTAACAAATTTTAAATGTATTTTTTTTAGTCTTGTAATACTATTATTATAAATTGACATTTTGCACGTCTGCTTGCAGACTGAATACATTGTCATCTAAATAATTTAAGAACTTGTGTAGTGTGTATTGCAAATAAAGAATTTGATTGATTGATTGATGGCAAAAGTGCATAGATAACAAGGGTTTATACTTTGATTAAATAAATATATATAATATTAAAAAATATTCGACTTTTTGTTCCACCCATACCAAACACCAATTTTATATGTAAGGACCTAATATAAGGGAATATTTTTTTTCCAGTGCGAATTTTTTTTTTGGTGATTCAGTATCAGTAATAGAACACTTTTCCATAATTAGTTGAATTTTTTTTTGTTATATTTTTATCCCTATTGAAACGGTAGAATATGGACACATTTTTAAAATAAAACTTCAATGAAAACGTCTTCTCTTGCGTATACCACCGAGCATCCCCGCCCGTTGGCAGCCCCCGCCACAGCCCCCGCCGCTCGGGACCGAGCGACGCACGCGACAGTGGCGGCAGTAAGACTCATACGCATGCGCCGATGTGACGTACCCTCGCGTTCCCGCGCAAGCGCAGTGCCCGCCGCAATCGTGAGTTTTACGAGATGGTACGAGTTTATCTTCTGAGTGGTGAGAACCTAAGCGTAGTTCGGAGAATGCGACGGAGAGCATATGCGAGCCTTTGGGATCCGTAACCCCGCAGTCCCTAATGCGGGAACTATTTTAATAGACGACGTCCCATAGTCAGTACCCACGATGCGGCACTTCGCTTTGGTGTGAGCCAGTCCGCGGTATACGAATTTGTTTCTCTTTTATTTTTTTGCATTTTTATGGCCTTAATCATAAAAGTATGAAGGGAAAAGTTCGGTATTCAATAGAGGATAGTAAAGTAATAGGTCGGTAATTATTTATATCATTAATCTTGCCCTTTTTGAATACTGGTCTTACACAGCCTATTTTTAAATTATCTGGATATATACAATACCTGTACTTAGACTGACGTTTACGAGATTCGCAATAGAACCCGCATTTTACTGCTCACGGCCTGTATGTCTACAACTCTGACTTTGTCCAAACCCGGTGCTTTATATTTATTAAGGGAATTAATCGGTTTTTTTATTTTATCCGGTGTAGCTTTCTGAAATTTCATACTTACGTCAACTGTTTTGTTTTTATGATCAGTTAGGAGAGGCTTTGAGCAATAAGCCAAGATTTTATTTACAGCACTTTCAAAGCCAACAGCAAATTTATTTGATATTTCAGAGGGCGTTGGACATTGAGAGTCAAATGCATCAATGATAAGATAATCTATGGGTTGTTTTGTTCTTCCACATATTAAGTTTATAATATTCCATAATTTTTTCGGATTACTACAACTTGCTTTTATTTGATTTTTTTATAAAATGTAGTTCTATTATATTCTATAATTTTATGTATTTGATTACGCAATTTATTATATTTTAATCTTAAAATTTTATTAAAGGGATCTTTCTTCGACATAATAAAACAATCATCTCTATTATTACATAACTCAATAAAAGGTTACTCAACCAAGGTATATTTTTTCTATTTTTTTATTGATTTTTTTTTCTGGCATTTACAAGTTCGGTATTCTTGTTTTCAAATTGTTTTATTTTGCTATTCTGATTCCTAAGAACTTCCTCAATGTTTGCAACTTGATCTCTGCTTTGATAGTCTTCTTATTTTCAGATGTAATGTTTCTCATGAATTTTTGCATGTCAAATGGCACCTTGGATATGGCTTCATCTGTATCTTCAGGAATAAAGAATGATGAACGTCTGCTCACGTTATTGAGGCAGTCTTCGCAACTCCATTCTAGGCCATCCGAAGCTCGAAGAGCGGCTAGTTGCTCAGTTGATAATTTGGCACAGTCAATTGTTGCGTGTACTACCTTTTCGCATCTGCTGCATTCCAGTCCAGTGGCTTTCTTGGTAATATTACTGTTGCATCTTACACATTTCTTAATAACCATTTTTTTTCTTATCGTTCGGGGGTAAATTTATTACTTTTAACTAAGGTGAACGTTACACGAGTGCTCTTTAAGGTGAACGTTACACGAGTGAAATAAGGCAGGACTTGAATTAAATATTAAAAAATCTCTGCTGATGGTGTCAGACCTGGTAAAGCTAAGATCGAGGCTGTTAAATCCTTTCCGGAGCCAAATACTATTCACGAAATCAGCCAATTTATAGGGCTGGCGAGCTATTATTCGCAAATTTATTAAGAAATTCGATCTACTAGCTAGACCGTTAACAGATCTGACTAGACAAAGTTTACCATGTTCACGGGGACCAGAACAGCAAGAGTCTTTTACAAATCTAAAGGAAAAATTAACACAGCGTCCAATACTAGCATTATATAATCCAGAATCTGAGACGGAACTACACTGCGATGCCTCTAAGGTAGGTTTAGGGGGAATCCTTTTTCAAAAGGATCCTTCAAGTACTTATTTAATACCGGTAGCATATTTTAGCCGTAAAACTACACCAGACGAAGAAAAAATGCACGCATATAAACTTGAAACACTTGCTGTTATCGCCTCTCTGCATAGATTTTAGGGTATACCTATTGAGAAAAGATTTTAAAATAATAACTGATTGTAGTGCTTTAAGGTCCACGTTTGTAAAAAGAGATATAACACCTCGCGTGGCACGATAGTGGATAGCACTACACGAATATGATTGTTCTATAGAGTATAGGCCGGGTCAATCTATGAAACATGTTGACGCCCTTAGTAGATATCGCTCATTTGCGACAAGAACGTGTTAACGCAAATATGTATCGTTATTGAATGATAATACAGTAGAATTCGGCGCATCGCGCTCTACTTGCTGCTAAAACGCGATATTTCTAGCGCCGAAAATGACCGAGTAATGAAGGAAAAGGATGGCGACTATCGGTTTAGCGCTATCTCTTTCCGCTCCTAAGTTCAATGCAAGATCGGTTCATGTCAGTTGTCGCCGCTCGCTTGAGGAGGAAAGTGCTGCCTGGTTGCGGCAAAAATGTAACAGCTCATGGTGTCACGGTTTTGTTGAAATGGTAACTACAGCTTTTTGTTTTTTTGGTGATTTATTTTTGCAGCTATAACGGGACATTTGTATGTGGCTCATTATTGTAGTAAAAATAGTAATCGCATGCTATGGTTTACAAAGGATTGTACCGTTGTTGCTGAAATAAACAATTATTTTTGTTGGTTAATTTGAGATGTTCTGTTACAGTTGATAATAAAAGTATAAAATGTTCGGTACTAATGTTGGTTATCTCAAATTAACACTTTCTTGATAAAAAATAATACATTTTACAACGAATAGCTTACAATGTTGCATTATAAATGATAAAAATATTGAAAATTTATTTACTGAAATTTCAGTCTTAATTACACAATCTTTGAATTCCTCTTCCACTGTCACTGAATCTATTTTAAAGACAAGTTTAAATAATTATAATAGCCAATTTCACTTTCAACACATTGATTTTAACGATATAATAAAATCTTTTAATCAGCTAAAGAAAAGAAAACCGCTGATTTATGGGATAATTCCATTGAAGTTTCTAAATCGGTAATTGAGACAATAGCTCCAATCCTAGCTTATATATTAAATGAATGTACTGATTGTGGTATTTTTCCTGAGCTCATGAAATATAGCAAAATTATTCCTTTACATAAATCGAGTAGCACATCTGACCCAACTAACTTTAGACCTATATCCGTGCTACCTACATTTAGTAAGATTTTTGAAAAAATCATGCTGGATAAAATACATACATACTTTTACATGAATAAGCTTATGAATCGACTACAATTTGGTTTTACAATACAAGGGGTCGCTCAACAACCGAAGCCGGTGTCGAGTTAATACTAGAAATTTTTAATGCCTGGGAGGATTCACATGATGCCTTAGGTGTTTTCTGTGACCTATCTAAGGCATTTCATTATGTTTTTCATGAAACATTGATTACTAAACTTCATTTTTATGGATTTAGAGATAACTCATTGGATTTTATTGTCTCGTACTTGACTGACAGAATACAGAGGGTTGATACCAATGGCAAAAGATCCCCTGGGTCGAAAGTTAAGATGGGTGTTCCGCAGAGCTCAATACTTGGTCCTTTCTTGTTTTTGATTTATATAAATGACTTGCCTTATTTCGTAAGGAATGATCACGAAATAGTTTTCTTTGCGGATGACACTTCACTTTTGTTTCAAATTAAAAGAGGGTTACCTCTAAATGACGATGTGAACAATTCTATCGCTAAAGTAGTACATTGGTTTAATGTAAATAATCTTCTTCTTAATGAAGGAAAAACAAAATGCCTAATATTTGTACTACCTAATGTTAAAAAAGTAGATATAAATTGTGGATACCACGGTATTTTAAGGAATAAAATTAGATTTTAAACTACAGTGGGGCCCATATATTGATAAATTGTCGAGTAGACTTAGCTCTGCAGCATATGCCGTAATGAAAATACGTAGGTTAACTGACATAGATACTGCCAGATTAGTATACTTCAGTTACTTTCATAGTGTAATGTCGTACGGAATCCTATTGTGGGGAAGTGCTGCCGACATACAAACAATTTTTGTTCTTCAGAAAAGATCAATTAGATCAATTTATAATCTTAGGATTAGGGACTCTTTAAGGGAGAAATTTAAGGAAATAGACATTATGACTGTTGCTTCTCAATACATATACGAGAACTTAAAGTACGTTCGTAAAAATATTTGTTTGTCTTCTATAAAAAGTGATATACACAATTTTAATACAAGAAATAAAAATAAATTAACGGTGCCTGTCACTAGACTGCAAAAAGTTAATAACTCATTGAAGGGTCGTTGTGTGCGCTTCTACAATAAGGTCCCAAGTAAAATACAACAATTAGATATCATGCATTTTAAATCTACTATAGAAAAAATACTTATTAAAAAAGGTTATTATAAAGTATCCGATTATATAACAGATAAGAACGCTTGGACTTGAGGTGATCCAGCAACTGGATAGGTGATTACTTCGTAACCCATTATCTTGTTTTCATTATTATTAAATGATTATGTTATCATTATAAGACCATAGTTTTTTTTCTATCTCTGTTTATAATGTATTGATCTGGTAATGACATGTTTTTGTAAATGTCATTACTCTTATTAGAGCTGGTTTCTTGCTCGTTCTTCTTATCAGCCAAAACATCCTGAACGAGTGGTAGGGAAAAAAATGTTGGACGATTCAAAAGTATTTTTAAGAAGTCTATTTGAATAAAGATTATTTTGACTTTGACTTTGATTATTACTTGTATTTCAGCGAAAGTTACACAATAACTTCGCTAAAATATCTCTCATTTTGTAAAACAGAATACAAAAATAAAGAGATTTCTACGACAATAACATGTCTTTATAAAAATGTTCCATGCCTTTATATTAGAAATTATCAATAAAAACGTAACAATACGACATAACTTGTAAAGGTTTCGATTTAAATCAATTTTTTTCTTCATGAAAATCGGTACATATCTGTTTGTTCTGCAATACTGGATTATTTTTACACGAATAACGCAACAAAGAGGATCCTTTTTTAAATAAATAATCATAATAAATTTAATAACTAACTTAAAGGTCTGAATGCAATTTGATCCAAAAACCGAAAACCTTGAAGTTATGTTGTATTGAGCTGAACAGGCTTAACAAAATAATTAAAAAGTTACAGGAATTTGAAACTTTCAAGAGCGTTTTATCACAAATTGAGATTTTTACTTTGTCACGTTCTTGTCGCAAATGAGCGATATGCTCTACCCTGTTTAGATGAAAATGAAGAAACTGAACATTTAACTCGTATATTACATATATTTCCTCTTCCCTCCGGACTGCACTCCAGTGCGAACGTGTTTAAAGAATGATTACTGCTTTAAATAAAAATAATTTGATTATTTGTAAGATTTAAAAAGTTTGAAATATTAGGAGATCATACTTAACGAGGAGATAAAATTAAAAGTGCAAGCAAGACAGTGTGTGTATGCACTACCTACTGGAATCGGACTATCACAGTCACGCCTCTAGAGTGCAAGCGCAGCGTGTGAGTACCTACTCCCGTTATTTCACTCCTCAAGAGTCCTCAAGAGAGATAAGAGTAAGACTAATAAACTAACGTTGTCGCAGTCAATAACTTGTTATTGCACCACCTATAAATTTTCATCTTGTTCCAACGCATTGAGTACTGGTTGTGCTTCTTTTGCATATCTAACGATACATTCTCTTGACTTCTATATCCCGGATAGATTTTATTCAGATTCAGAAATGTATATTGCAGAACAAAAGACGCAATCATCTAAACAAATTATGCTAAAATAAATTAAATAGACAAGTAATAAGATTGAGAACTCAATAACATTTTTAACCGAACAGAACGAAGAGTTTAGAAAAAAAAACATCAATTGGAAAAACAGAGAAGGGAGGATAGAAAGTATATAACTATTTTAGAAGAAAAAATTGAAAATCTTCATATAGATAACAGAAAGTCGAATTAAGTAATAAAAAATGCACCAAAAAAACCGAACGAATCTAAGGAGGACCTACTACTTAATATGTTTATACATTTATCAAAAACCATAGGATCTCAAACCAAGAAGGAAAATATTAGAGATATTTATAGAGTGAAAGGAAAGAAAGAAAGGCCTCAAAACACTCCTATAATTATGGAAGCCTCATCAACTATTATAAAATCTGAAACCCTGAGATTGTGTAAGGCTTTCAACGTTAATCAACGCATAAAATTATCCGCTAAACACATAGGATTAAGATTATACGAAGACTTGCCAATATTTATCTCAGAATAACTAACAGCGAAGGCAACTCGATTACATTTCCTTGTGCGCGATCTTGTCAAAAGAAAAATATTTAAATTCTGCTGAACCGCATATGGTCGTATTTACCTGAGAAAATACGCCAATTTTACATATCACAGGCGAGCTACAAATACA